CCGTTATTTCCGGCAGATGTTGAAGAAAAGAGAGAAACAAACGACTTTGGACAGGTTTTTCAGTTTAGAATTTCTTGGAAATTTTCTATTAAATGACAAAGAAAAAAATACAGATTTCACTAAGATTCCATTAGTTCTAAAAGAGGCACCTTTAAGTACATTAACGCGGACGAGTGGCGAATATATCCGCCATATTATTTACATGGAAGACTTCGTTTTTGAAAAATCACATATAATAGCAATAAAATCGTGCTATAGTTTCAAATTGAAATACTTGGATCCAGCGATGACCGATGTCTGCAATATGGCAACAATATATTATCATCGATTGCCAATGAATTTTTCATCGAGTTGAGTAACGAGAAAAAATGTCAGTCACACATTCATAGATTCAGTGATCGGCATTCATCACCACAAGTTGTGAAAAGTTATGTTTTAATTAAAAAAAAACTTCAACTTGAAATCCGATGTTGGCGCCACGCACCACACACTTTATTCGCGCGTGGGCCGCTAATGAGTCTCACGTCTCAAATTTCTGATTTGCGCAATCCGCGTCGTATTTTTGGTGATCTCTCCTCTATTCCGCAACTCGAATTCCAAATACAGATTTTAATAATACACGCGGCATTTCTAACAGGTTCTATGTTATACTTCTCCTACATTTTTTTTAATCGCGTTGCGCAACAAGCGGCGCCATTCCACCTGAGCCGGCGTCTCTACGTGTGTTTATATATAAAAAAAAATATATGTATTAATGCTTCCTAATTAATGCAAGAAAAACGTTATAAATACGATTTTAAATAGTCCAACATCGGACACCGAGGAAAATGAATGGGGAAATAAAAAACAAGAAGGATGTGCGTATGGTTTGAGAGGAAGGAGAGAAGGAGACGTTCCTCGGGTTTATTTTTAAATGGTTTAATCTGTGTGGTCCGATGCAGTAGGCTCGTTACTGCCGAATGCAGCGAGAGAGACGATGGAAAAGAGAATAGATGAAGAGAAAAAAATATATAATAATTGGCCTGATTTGCATTTTCTACGACAATGCCGATGTCGTAAAAATCCTCCCAGTTATTTCCCGTTCCTAATCAAACTAATTGAATTATTCAAATTATCGACCGAAAATGCACGGACTAGAGCACAATCCAGTTTTTTTTCTCTCTCCATTCTTAAATGCACCGGTTTTTTTTTAATTAATATTTTTCCTACACATCCACAATTCTTCTATTGATAAAATGGAAATGCTGTACAATTCGAACTCATAATAGTTTTTCTTTAAGTTAATCCAATAGAAATGTTAAATTTCTTCTTTTAAGAATATATTTGAATATTTTGTGTTCTTTTTTATTGTAGGATAACAATCACCTTAGTTAGATAACAAAAACGTACAATTTAAATGGAAACGTTTCAATTGCTGCTGCTGCTGCTTATAAATTACTATTGTCGAGTAGATTTGTAATCAAAACATATGATTCAATCTTATCTATTAAAACTTCCTACTTTACGGATTAAAATTTTAAGTTTAGAAGATTCATGAGAATTGAATAATTTTAATGTTCATGAAAATAAAATTAATCAACACCTTCATTCTCACAATAGTCGTAAAATTACGTATTGTAACAAATTAAATTAGAATATTTTAGGGTAAACTGTTTGGAGATCCCGAGTATAGAGTTTACTAGTGGTCTACGTATTTATTGATCATAGAATAGAAAATAAAGTTCTACTAAAGAACTACAGTTTATATTAAATAATTGACTTTTTAGCACGAGTATAGATTTTAGTATTGATCTGTGGATTTATTGATCATAGAATATAAGATCAAGATTACTAAAGAACTACAGTTTATATTAAGTAGTTGACTTTTTAGTACGAGTATAGATTTTAGTAGTGGTCTGTGGATTTATTGATCATAGAATATATGATCAAGTTTACTAAAGAACTATAGTTTATATTAAATAATTGACTTCTTAGTACGAGTATAGATTTCAGTAGCGATCTGTGGATTTATTGATCATAGAATAGAAGATCAAGTTTACTAATGAACTATTGTTTCTTTTAACACTTTGAGGGGCGGTGGTAGACGCAATGTACCTAGTACATGTCTAGTAAGGAATTATTATAATTTTGTAGGAAATATCCAGGAAATACGATTTTTTCTTTAATTTGAGTCAAAGAGTTAAGGTATGGACATTTCAGTATGAAGATAAAGTTTAGTAGTGGTCTGTGGATTTATTGATCATAGAATATAAGATCAAATTTACTAAAGAACTACAGTTTATATCAAATAATTGACTTTTTAGTAGGAGTATAGATTTTAGTAATGGTCTGTCTATTTATTGATTATATAATATAAGATCAAGTTTACTAAAGAACTACAGTTTATATTAAATAGTAGACTTTTTAGTACGAGTATAGATTTTAGTATTGATCTGTGGATTTATTGATCATAGAATATAAGATCAAGTTTACTAAAGAACTACAGTTTATATTAAATAATTGACTTTTTAGTACGAGTATAGATTTTTAGTAGTGGTCTGTGGATTTATTGATCAAAGAATATAAGATCAAATTTACTAAAGAACTACAGTTTATATTAAATAGTTGACTTCTTAGTACGAGTATAGATATTTTGTATGAAATATCCAGGAAATAGGAATTTTTCTTTAATTTGAATCAAAGAGTTAAAGTATGGACATTTCAGTATGAAGATAGAGTTTAGTAGTGGTCTCTAGAATTATTGATAGCATCGTTGGGGTGAGGAAAGGGTGTGAGGGCCGACCGATAATAGAGGACTTAATTTTATTAAAACCTCGCCGGGTTTAGATTTATCGCGTTAAAAGCTCCAATCGAATTTTACACTGCCATTAACACCTCCCACCTGCTAGGGCCGAATTTAATTTGCTCCCGCTGATTTACTCCTCCATTCAACGAAGAAACACAAAGAACTGCCGACTTTAGCTAGAGCACATGACCACCTTTTCCACATGCTCGCATCTAATTCTATAAACGAACAAATACAAAATACAACAACAAACAAGTTTATGCCAACGAAAATCCGAACAAAATCATCGACAATTCGATTAGATCGTCATCAATTTGATTAACCATATTAATCAGACAATAAAAATAATGCAAGTACACTAGTTCTATATAACACGTACTATAAAAAAAGCTCTAATTTTACTTATTTACTACATGATAAATTGATCTACTTACTATATGCTCATGTATCTTCGATTAACGCTGTTTTGTTTAAAACTTGTCGATAAACGAGGTCTTGCTGTATCTTAAGATTCTCTTTTAGTTGAATATTTCTATATAAGAGTTATTTATATATCAAAATTAATTACAAAGTTTAGTAAAGTTATATAGTTTGTTAATATTATTATTACTAACAATTTTTAATAAAATTTTAGTTTGAAAAGTTTTGCTTTCGAAAATAACTTTGAAAAATGTAATCTATACAAATGAATAAAACAATATCAATATCACTTGGATTAGTAAATACTTGGATAAGGGTAACAAATTTAGTTTTAGTAGAATTACTAAATTTTCAAAACCATAAAAGTATTTAAATATGCGAAGATCTAGTAACTTCATTTAGATTTTGATTTAAATATCAGACATTCCAAATTTAATATGAAATTAAGTAAATATAACGTACATATTTAATACTAACTCATATTTCATACTAATAAGCATGGTTTGTTTCCAATTGACTACAATTTACCAATATTTTACCAATATGTTATAAAAATTAGAAACGAAGTTTGTTAACAAACAAGTAAGAATAACATAGAAATATATCAGTTTTTAGTATGAACTACTAAGTCATATTCCATACTAAAAAGTCTTGTTTACTTAGAATTGACTACAGCATACCAATGTTTTACCAACTTCTTGTATGTTATAAATATAACAAATGTAATTAGTAAACAAATTCAAAAAAGTAAGAATTACATAAGAATATATTACTTTTTAGTATGAAATACTAATTCCTATTCCATACTAAAAAGTTTTGTATGCTTCCAATCGACTTCTCCTTGATTACCAATGATTTACTAACTTCTTGTATGTCATAAATATAAGAAATATAATTTGTTAATAACTGCAAAAAAAGTATTGTTTGCATCCAATTAACCACAGTTATACCATTGCTTTACCAACTTATTACCTATGTTATAATTATAAGAAACATATTATATAAACAATTGCAAAAAAAGTAAGAATAACATAAAAATATATCAGTTTTTAGTATAAAATAGTAATTTACATTTATTACTAAAAAGTAAGTTTTAATTCCTGAGAAGAAAACAGCTTATATAAATTAATAAACTAGTTATGACTCTACAAACATACAGGAAAAACATAAACTTTTCATAATGGTTTAGAAAATTAATCTATAGTATATACAAACAATTTATATAACAATTTTCTATTACGTAAAAGACAATATTCATAAACTGATTTATTTCAAAGACTGAGAAGGTACAATGCTGTTAACAAAAGCAATTAAGTGATAACGTCTCACTTTACACTTTATATAACCAATGTTGAGCTCCAGAAACGCTGACGAAGCTGTCGTGTCGTCGTCGTCGGCACAGCACGACAACTTCTGGAGACATGTAGAACAGCAAGTGGAAGACGAAGGACAAGAGAAAAAGGAGGAATTAAAAAAAAATCAGAAAGAGTCGCCAAGATCGAACTAATTACCCTAATTAATCCAGGTTCACCCTTTGTGTTAGTGTTTCAACAATCTCGCAAATACACACACACAGAGAGAGAAGAGTATGTAGCAGCAGCAGCAGCAGCTACGGCAGCAGTAGAGGCAGATACTCGCTACTTGATCTCCCCCGTAAGGAGGCTGTGCGTGTATGTATATGTGTGTGTCTGATTCGGTATAATTATGGGGTAAGATAGTATTGCCGTCTCTGTTCCACGTGATTGATTAAGGTGGATGCCGTCTTTGTCGGCGTCGTCGCTGGAAGGGAACCCGTCCTCAGTGCATTCCCGGCTGCCGACCGAAACGGTACCCGCACACCGACGCCAGCAAGAGACGCTCAGTACAACTTCGGACGCGGAGGCGCACGTATCGCGCGACACAAAGACACGCGCGCATTTTTACACGTACCGATTTCATCCCTTATACAACAACAACAACAGAAAAAAAACAACAACGCATAAACCGATCCGCATTCGCCAAGGATTTAGGATTAACATGGATTATCATTGTGATTCGTAGTGCCCTAATTCACGTGATTACTTTTAGTGGGTGTTTCTTTTATTATTCTCAATATCATTTACAATGATGATTCCATTCGCAACTTTACACGAACAGGAATAATAATTATACACTTTTTTTTGGTGATTAAGCAACAGCAGTGCACAGTTCTATTTTTTATTATTATTATTATCATCATCTTTTTTTTTGGGATTAAATTATATCGAAACGTGAGTACAAACTGGAAATTAAATTAAATTCAAATTAGCCGCGAATTCGGTGCATGCAACGAACAAGCGAAAAATATATACATATATATATATAGGGGAAACAACAATAATCCAGCAATATAATTAAATAAACAATGATGTATTCCATTGATTGGATTACCTTCCACGTGCGAACTTTTCGAATCATTTTATTTTTAAACTCTATTTTGTATTTTCTATACGTTTCGTTCATTTAAATATTTAATACCAATTAATTTACAAATCCATTCAGTTTTAATGCGATTTACTTTACTAGTTAATACCTTCCTTTTTTTTTCAATTACCAAAAAAAAATTATAAAATCTATTACTTTGCAACAAAACAATTTAAATAACATTTTCCATTAAATTATTTTTTATCTACAAAACTATTTACTCTCAATTTTTAAGAGAATTTTCACAAGAATATATTTTTATCACTAAAATATTACATTTTATTTTCATAACAATTTTTTACTAATCGATTATTTCATTAAAATTTCATTATCTTTCAATTTAAAATAAATAAAATTTGTAAATTAAAATTAAAATTTATATACATAAAAATACATTTCCAATATTCTGAATTTATAAGAAACAAGAAAGATACAAAATTTAATTAAAATGAAAGTAAATTGAAAAAAAACTTTAATTATTTTAAGCCTAAAATTAATATAAAGCAAATTAATAAAATTTGGTGTTATAAAATAATAAGAAAATAACTTAAAATAAGTTTTGGATGATTTTTTTATATATAATTATTAATAGTAATTTGATTTAGTAAATATTTAAAAATGAAATTTCCACTATTTAGATTCATAATTAATAATAAATAATATCTTTAAATAACATATAAATTATTTAATTTTTAAATATAAGTTTTATTTAATTTATTAAATTTTTCTTAAGAAAAATAACATTTCCTTAAGTCTTATGCTAATTTTATCATGGACTTTCAACAGGAAATACAAATGTGTAAACGAAATTTCCAATTTGATATTAATTAATTTCCTGGGAAACTGGTATTTCGTACACATCTTTAAACATAATTTATTAATTACAATAAAAAATAATTAATATAATTTACTTGTATTTTATACAGCGTTCAAAATCGAAGAAAGTTCTAACTGGAAAACAACATTTTAATGAGTTTACATCACAAAATACAAGATGAAATTTGAATATTTTTACGTAAATTAATTTGAGTGTATTTTTAGAGTTATGATCATTTAAATTCTCAAATTTATTCATTTATAATTTTATCAATTTTATTTGAAAACATTTTGAAATTATTTGTGTTTTTCTTGTAAAAAGTTTGAGGAATTTTGCAGAAACTTAATGAATGGCACATAAAATTATTAAAAGCTTTCGTTTATAAAGATTATAACAATGTATAATGATGAAGTAATGTGTTCTGAAAAACATTGTTAAGACTTTAAAAGTTGTTTGTAAAAGGAAGAGAGTTAAATAATGGTCGGGACAGTAGTAATGTTCAATGAATCCCATTGTTGTTGGACGACCATTCCCATTCAAATCGGTGATATACGACCGTCTTTCGCTACATTTTACAGCTGAAATTATGCCCAGTTATGCATCATCGACGCGCCGCACACTGCATTAAATTTAATCAATTTGTCCAGTTGTTAATTGTTTTCGACGAACTCTGCACCATGCGAAAAGCATGTTCTCATTGAACTTAATAAAAGCAAACACGTTTCACAGCTATAATTCCTACATTTGTTTAACATTAATTTACCGACATCTATTGAAATTTTTCAAAAATTATTAAACAGAATTGCTAAAATTATGAAATATAATTTATGTCTGTATTTTTAATTTGTTTTTAACATTGCACAAAGTATACACAAATCTATTTTTTTATAAATTTATTTTCACTTGTTATTAAATGATTAGAAACTAAGTTTTTCCAATAATGGAAAGCGCGTTTTCCCATGCAATTAAATACAATTGGAGAGAAATTGTGAGACAAAAAAAAACTGCGTTCGTTGGCAAAGTGAAGTTACTAATAAAGTATTGAAAAGTTTCCGTGAGTTTTTGTGCTTCCAGTTCAAGCCACTCGACATTTGCGAAAAGTGCTGGAACATCTTGTGAAAGCGTTAATCGAAAACGAAATTGTTGAAACATCGTGGAGCGCCGCGTTTGTTCTCCGTCTCGCCCCTCGTCGAGCGTAATTGAATAATCGCGGGGGCGCGAATTATTACTTTACCTTTGCATTCAATTTAAACGAACAAATTATTATTTTCTTCCTCGTTTATTGTTTCACCTCACTCTACCTGTACTATACACATATTATTTTTTTGTGTTTTTTTTTTCGTCTTAATGTATTCCGAGATATTTCCAACGCCCTCCGGTTTTGTTGTTCAGCCAAACGCAATCTCGACGAGAATATCTGTTCGCGTTTCCGTGGCCATATGCCTTTTATATAAGTATGCACATAAATGTGATAAAATCGGCTTTTAGACCATTAAGTCGTGCCTGGCAGTCATTACGACCCCGGTGATGCGGGGGTGCTGAGGGGGAGCGAAAATCACTCAAATCAAATTAAATTTATCTATGGGCCGGCCGCAGAAACCAGAGAACGCCTCCTTCCTTACAATTATAAAAAAAAAATTCCCCCTGCCGTCGCGATTAAAAGTAAAAACGGAAACGATGCTAACCAGGACTAAACTAGGAAAAATTAAAAGTTTCCCAAGCATATTTTCAGTTTTTTTCAATGAAACGGTGCAACATTGTTATTATACTGCCGATGGTATCTGGAGGGAAAGGTTGTCACTGATGCTATCGTCGTAGTAAATTTTAAACCTTTCCAGCGTTTTGCAGACGTTTATATACAGCTAACATGTTTCCAGAAAGTCTTAAACTCTTAAAACTACACTAGACTCCATCTAGCGGAGAAATGTATATACTAAAACAATATTTTTCTTGATTTTTTTGATGACATTAACAAGAAGTATTTTCTTCGTTCTGTTTATTTTACATAAATATTTCCATTTATTTTTGATAATAACGAAAGATTTAATTTTAGTTTATTGTTATATAAAACAATAAAAGTAAAGGTAATAAACTTGTTTATATTCAATAAAATTAACTAAATTTACAAAAAAAACAATCTAATTTTTTAATGAAACAAAGATTTAATAAACAAAATATATTTTCGAAAATAAAAAATCACTTTTTTCTTGTTTCATTAAACAAATAATTAATATGTTGAGTCGTGACGGTGTGTGATGTTATACAGTGCGATGTGTGTTTATTTTATTCAGTGTTTACGTAAACGTTTTCATATAAATATACATGCGTACTTGTGGAACGAAAATCAGAGTTTCTTTCATTAAAACACAAAAACAACAAACATGTGTATTCAAAATTACATTTAATAATTTAAAAGTGAGAAATAAAAATTACATTATCAAATAAATAAACTTTTATATTTTGTTTACACTAAAGGATTGTAGTTATTAATTATAAAAAAAATAAATATATTTAATGTGTTGTCATGACAACCTTAACCATACTTAAATAGTTTTAGTAACTATAGAGATGATAATAATCTGATTAAGAAATTCCCGAAATCTGTGAATTAGCTGATTTGCTCTGATGGTGATTAGATAATATTAGTGACTAGGAAGGAAACAGCAATGCAAACAACATCAACTACAACACAATTATACTGATAGCATTAATCCGGGATTAAATTGTGGATAAACACAGAAAACGCTTATGTGTCCGTCGTTCGATAAAAAAAATGATTACCTTTAGCACAACATACATTATGTATATCACAATTTCCTTGCGATCGACCGAACTGCGCGGGAACACGTAGCGCCATCTGTCGGCGTCACGTCGAACACGGTCACAACACATGGACTTACCTAACTTATCTGCATATTATATCGCCCTCTCTTACACGTACACCAATTAGCATTCATTTAAATCCAATGATTAATTAGGACATTTCGAAATTTATTCACAAAATAAAACATAAAAAATATAAAGAAAAAATTATTAATTATTTCTTTTTAAATTAGATTTTAATAAGTTTAAAGAAAATAAATATTTTTCAAATAAATTTAATGTAAGTGAAATTAATTTATTGATGATTATAAAAAATTGTTAAAAAAATATTATTTTATTTTTCATTCAAATTATCTCAAAGCTGAAATTAAAACTTCCTGAATGAATTTGCTAATATATATAAATATTGAAGGGAATTTCTTTTTTAATTAAAATGGAATTAAATTTAGCGGGAAATTCAATTACTTCGATTTTATCCAAAAATAAATTATCAAATAATATTCTTTGATATTTGCAGATTAAACTTGAATATTAAATTACTTAAAATTACTTCTGCTACGACTCAGAGCCAATTTTCATTCGTTTCATTAATCCAAGACTTTTAATGAAAGGGAAAAAAACCGTAACTAAAAATATTTTTCTATATAAAATAAAGCGAGGAGGAAAAATCGATTGTGGTGTGATACGAAACAAAGTTGACTAGCATTGCGATTTTCTCTTCGATAAACGAACTCCATTTTTATGCTGCTGCCACCGCCGTTAAAACGGTATAAATATTCGCGTTTATCGCCTCAACACGCACCTCTTCTCCTCACTCCTCCACGTTCTCAACTAATACAACATTTATTAAATACAATTTACCTGGAAAATTATTCCGCAGAATTAATTAAGATACCTTGTTGCGCTTTGATTCCCAATTACGACCGGGGCAGTAAAAATGTAATTTTTATTCGACTTTAATGAAGATTTACGATACATTTTTAATCGCACAATACTAGAACAAACACAACACAATAAACTTTCCCCCAATCAATTTTTCATGAAACAAACACCAAAAAAAAAACGGATGTATTTAAACAGCCGGATTTCTTTGATCATAATTTTTATTTATTTATTTGGACGAATGAAAATAAACGTTTTTCACTCTCTCTCTTGACCGTTTTAATT